GCGTGGCTATTTCCACACGATTTCATGTATAGAAGGTACTACGTGTAGCGTAATTGATTCCACCCAAAGCGATTGCCACCCAAAAGTTACGCGCATAAGAGCCTTAGTGAGTCTTCACATATCTGATAAATGTAAATATGCCTGAAGATGATGACGAATCACTTAGTTTGATAGACGGTAACGACTCATGGCTTGGCGAAATAGTTCGCGACGACATTCCGACAAGTGACAGAGACAGCGACAGTGACACTGACAGTTTACCTGATGGCAAGACAGTCGTCAGCGGCGCTGGGGCAGCAGGAATGATTTCTCTGCTCCAGAATTCCCCTCCGCCACATCCGGATATGCCGGCGTTCATGGAGTTCCCGCGGCTGCCCGCCCACACGGGACCCGCTGCGCACCCGTTCCTCTCATATCGCCAACAATCAAGGTAAACAAGCTCCTCTTCAACATAAACACCAACACCACTGGCAAGTGTCTGGGCTTCAGCTCCAGCCCGCAACATCGAGTTCTTGTATCTACGGAACGGTACACAACAGGCCGGTATGTCAGCGCTGCAGCATTAAGAGTCGATCCACTTGGCGGGCAGCCCCGCCGAGAGCTGCAGCGGGACGAGACGGCGCGACAACCGGTTGTGATTGGTCGTGAGAGGGGGGTACACCTGGTGCGTGGGGATGGTTGACCGCTACAATGGCCAGCCTATGGCGGCTGTGTCCTGGTCAGCTGTTGGCGGTGTCGGCGGTGATGACAGCATTCGCGTGCCGAGAGCCTGCACTTGTTGTGTGCAGGCAAGGGCAGGGGTCCTCTCTGTTCTTCCAGCAGAAGCGCGAGTGGCTTTCCGCGCGCTTGCGCCTCCTGTCGCGTCTGCACTCCTGGGACTCCTGGGCTCTGGGGGCCCGGCCCTCCCGCCATGGAGGACGACGCGGTGGCGAGCTAGCTCAGGCGGCTAGCAGCATGCCTGCTACAGCGCTTGGAAGGCGGCTAGTCCCAGCACGCCTGCAGGTGACGGTGGCTAGTCCCAGCACGCCGGCAGGTGACGCACTTTGTGCTGCGCATGATGATGCCTGGGCGGTTGGACTACAACATCTAGGGCGTGGCCGAGGACAAAAAGATTTGCAGTGGAGACGCATTCCCACCCGCGGCCCACAGGCAGCAAGGAGGATGACTCCTTCCTGCGCCCGGCGCCAGAGCTGGTTCAATCGGTGCAGGACTTGGCCATCCGACATCAGCACAAGCCAGCGGTCTCTCACGCTACAGCTCCTTGCCGATCAGCTTGGTGAGGTGGCGGGGAAGTACGTCTCGAAGCAGCCGTTTCGCCGCGATTCAATCCTTCCACGGCCTTTATCAGGGCAGTTCAGAAGCGAAATAACCGCGCCGGCAGGCTTCTGCGGGATGATGTCGGTGGGACCATCAGCACCCTGGTCCTCTACGGAGGCGCAGTGTCGTACAAGTACTAGCAGAAGATGACAGCGCCGGCGGGAGGGCCGGGGGCGGCGGCGGCGGCAGCGATGGGACTGGGAGGTGCGGTAGCCTCGACGGCAGACGCGGCGGCGGCGGGGGCCTAGCAACGCAGCAGCAGCGGCGGCGGCGGCGGCAGCGATGGGACTGGGGCTGGGAAGTAAGGCGACAGCGACGGCGGTGGGGGTGGGAGCCGGGACCGGTGTTGCGGCATACACGGGCCATGCAGCAGAGCTTCGGGGGCCGGATTGTGCTTTATGAACGCCACGTACTGCCTGATGCGCTACAATTACCCGCTCCTCTCTCTGCTTGTGGTGGATGAGCACGACAACGGAATCCCCGTCGCGTTTGGGAACGGGTGATTGCAAGCGCTGAGGGCGCCGACGACGACGTCCAGGCCTTCATCCAGGATGTTGAGGCGCTCCAAATCAGGTGGCTTCCAAATCAACAAGATGCTCACAGACACAGACAACTTACCACTTGGTGAGGCCGTCGGATTTGTTAGGTGCCATAGCTGAGGGGAGGGAGTGCGCCGTCACCGTCCCAAATTTCAACAAGTGCCACAGGGCGGCGAGATCTCGACTCCGCGATCCCTCGACTCCCCGGACTACGACCTCTGCCAGTTTCACATGAAGAAGTGAGCCGACCGCGCTTCCGATTATTTCGTAGCTTGTTTGTTTGGCCAACGGGTCCGCCAACGGGTCCGCCAACGGGGCCGCCAAGGGCTTTTTAGGCGGTCAGAGAGCGGCTCTGTGACGCCGTGAAGGTGCCCATGGCACAGCGCGATGTCCTGCTCGCTGCGCTGGCCCCCCTGATCCACGCCAAGACCGCCGAGGAGTTTTTTAAGGTGCAGGAGGTGCGGTGTTCCTGGCGCGAGACGACATGCTGCAGGCGCACAGGGGTTCGTGGTGTACTACACCTGGCCAACTACTCCTGCTCCATGCTGTCTCCAAGAGGTGGTAGGGTGCACCCGCATGAGATTCGGTGCTGATAAAAACGTTGACCAGCCTTTGTTGAGACTAGTTGCGTCATTCTTCGTGTTAGGTGGAGCTAGTACGGTCGCAACTTTGACGTCACCACCACAAACTGCATCGAGAGGTGGGTGGGGACTCCACGGCGTGCCTTTTGCTTCGTAAGTAACAGTCGCGGGTGTCGTTTGCTCCGGTTCCAGGTTTTTCCCCACACCTCCTCCTCAAGTATCAAGTCCTCCTCAATCGATCCGTCTCAGCATGCGTAGATGCAAGCTGGTCCGCAAGCTGCTGCTGTCCACGGTAAGGGATAGAAGCACCAAGTACGTCTTGCCATGAGCCCCCTTCATAACCGTAACCGGGTTTCTTTCCAGGTGATTCCGCACTTTGTGGGGGCCGTGACCGCTAAGCCTCACAGCTTCGCGCGGAGCAAGCGCGACGCCCAAGCGTCAGCTTGCACGACCACCACATCAGCCTGCTGTTGCAGAGGCACGCCACACACACACACACATCTTCAGCCTGACGCCCCACTCGGAATGTACCCCTTGTGGGCGCTGCGTGTCACCACCGCCGCCAGCATGGCATAGGTGTCACCTTCGTTCATCCCCTAAAGGGGAACGCGCGCCAAGGGCTACAGCACCGTCTGCCCCAGTGACAGCACTTGCTGCTCTTGCCACACCGCGGCTGCCGGTATCGTCTGTGCTCTCATCTGCGCGCCGTGTCCTGACCAGCTGCACTGCACGGCGGCGGTCGCACCGGAGTGCAGGAGCGCGTTGTGGCGGGCGCCCTTGTCACCCTCCAGAACGTTGCTCAGTTGGTGAGAAGTTTGTCCCGCCGGACGCCGTCCTCTTCCGCATGAAGCCCGTCCATGCAGCTAGCCAAAGTTCCTGACTGCTGCCCCGTCTGTGGCTCCCCGTGACGTCCCAGATGCCTCCGTCCCGGGACCCCGGGATGGAGAAGCCACAGCCGTTTACCGGCGGCTGGCTACCGTGACCTTCCGGAGTGACGCAGTTGCCTGCTCCTGTCCGCTCTTCAATGCACACACGGGGGATGAGCATGTGAGCAGTGCAGCGGTGGGCGAGGCGCTTCCGGAGAACTCCGGCAGGCCTCCGTGCGCGGTGATAACCGGCACCAACGACCCGTCCCCGCCGGGCCCGTGAGCACTGGCAGACCTGCGCTTGTTGGCGCTCTCTCTCTCGTCCCCTCACCGCTTACGAGGCGGAGGTCCGGACCATGCCGCCGACTGAGAAGCGGGCGCCTGCAGCGATCAGTCTGGCGGGCTGCATGCACATGGGCAAAGCGGAGGCACGGCTTATGCGGCTGCAGCTTGCCACACAGAGTGCACCAGACGGTATGAGGGGGTCCGCGGTGATGCACACCACCGCCGCTGTGCTCTTGGATGGCACACGGCGTGGCAGGGTGCGGGACTTGCGCTCCCAACTGGATGAGCTAGAACAGCAGCTGGCGGCGGAGGACTGGGACGAGATGGGGGGCAGCCAGCATTGACCAGCTGCGGAGCGTTCTGGTGGCGCGGCGGAGAGAGGCGGCCGGGGCGACAGGGCGCCCTGTCGCAGCGATCAACCCGGCGCAGCCGCGTCTGTCTGTCCCACAACTTGCGGCGAAACACCCCAGCAGCGGCGGCGGCTAGGGCCTCTAGGCGCGGGCGGCCCATCACACGGACCAGCGGCACCACACGGATCGACGTGGTTAACCACGCCTCTGCAGGACCGGCAGCGGCGGCGACGGCGGTGGCGGCAGCGGCGGCGGCGGCGGCAGCGGCGGCGGCGGCGGCGGCAGCGGAAGGAGAGACGGTCTCGAGCACGGAGCACAGGGAGGCGTAGGAGGAGGAGGCTGGGACTGGGGCCGAGGACTCGGTAGTCGGGGGCGATCTGGCAACCGCCAGGGGACCGGGTCGGAAGAAAAAGAAGAAGAGGAAGCCGGGGGCGCGCGGGGGGGGTGATGCGGATTGGGAGTGATTGGCGTGTGTGGGACGGGAAGCTACAGCTCGGGGGCACATAATACAATGTCATGTGTTCCGACGAAATCGATAGAGATGGATATAACCGTTGAAGCAGCGCACATAGGGTGTTTTAGGGTTTGTAAACTGTAACGGTGCCGCGCCAATACCTCCGTTCGTAGCTCTGCTTGTAAGGTGATTGATATTTGGGCGCCAGGCTCCAAGCAACGAAGTGCGCCAACAGCGGCTAGAGGTGTTATGTGATACGAAGAGTGTTTCGGCACCACCGTGCTTGGCCAGTCACCTTTTGCCTGGCCTAACCCCAGGACCGCCGCCGTAGCCGGTCGGTTTTTCCCCCTGCCGTGTGCCGTACGGTCGGCTACCTTTTTCTCCTGCCGTGTGCCGTACGGTCGGCTACCTTGGGCTTTAGGGAGCGGGGGTTTTTAATCTTGGAATGAAGCTGTCTTTCGCGGAATCCTGCTCGACCGAGGGCGCCACTCGGCCGTTATTGTGTGTACCCATGCTACATAGGGACGACGTGCGCCTGTACGGCTCCTGCAATTGGGCATCAGGGCAACAGGCATCAGGTACTTTATCTTTGTGATGCTTTCAGTGTAAATTATATAGCTGCAGGCGAAGTTTTGCTCGTCTGATATGGTTGGCGGAAAATGACACGCCAAATCAGCGACTTGCGTGTCCATAGAGCTCTATGCGGTATTCTATATAACTTTTCCAGGGAAAAAACTACAGAACATGCATCCAAAATAGTGACACACAACTCGTGGAGAAGGCTATACTCATCATCAACTCCCGACGATGGCTCCAACGTCGACTTTGGTACGCCAAGGGACTGGCAGAGTCAATAATTACTCTGTTACTGTGCCTTTGACGTAACATAAGAATTGACGCCTTGGATGATGCTACGCGACCGTGCGGCTTGGCCTTCCATTTATTCTTTCCCAATTATAACTGATTCACGACATCACCCACAATCCTCACATCTGCTATCCTACCGCAGGCTTCCGGCAAGTGCCCCGGGACGCCAAAGCCGGTCTCGTGGGACAAGTCTTCAGCAGCGTCGCATCGTCGTACGACGTTATGAACGACCTTATGAGCGGCGGGTTGCACCGGCTGTGGAAGGACAGGTGCGATGGCTGACAGCCAACGTTTTTGCATCACCTCCATCAGCATGCTGGGCCCTGCACCGTTTTGACCAGTCCTCGTCTCCCTGACCTAGACGCGAACCTATACGCGGAACCAGCCAGTCAGCCGGTCAGCTTCTGCCGTGGGATTGGGCCGCAGCTCTATCCCTTTCCGGGCTTTAAGAAGACATTTGCCTGGCTTCGAGTTCTTTAAAGCGGCAACCTTATGCCATTATACTCTTAACATCCCTGGACGCTCACACCAGACGCCGCACACAGATCATCCTCTCACCCCACCCCATCCCACCCCAGCTCGCTAACCCCCCTCCCCAACACCCCCCCTTCCTCAGACAGTCCCTAAGTTATTCCGCAAACCACATCCCCCCCTATCCCTTCATACCCCCCCAGAAAAAGACTGCTTTCTCCCCCCCTCCCCGCTCCTTATCCCGGTGTGGGAGGGTCCTCAGTTCCCGAACCAGAGTCAGCTCCGAAACCTCCGAAACCTCCGAAACCTCCGAAACCCCTCCCTAGGTTGGTGGAGGCTCTCCGTCCTTTCCCCGGCCAGGAGCATCTGGATGTGGCCGGGGGTACGGGTGACGTGGCCTTCCGGGTGCTTCGGGCGGTGCGGGCGGCGGAGGTGGAGGAGAGGCTGGCGGCGGCGGCGGCTGGAAGAACCAGCACCGGCGGCAGGAGGCCACCACCGCCACCACCGTCCTCCACACCTGAAACCGCCAGCAGTAGCAGTAGCAGTAGCAGTAGCAGTAGCGAGACCAGCGGTAGCGGCAGTAGCCGTCCCCCTCCTGGTGCAGCGGGGGGTTCATCCGCCTCAGACCCTCCGCTGGTCCCCGGCCGTGTGGTGGTGTGCGACATTAATCCGGACATGCTGCGCGTGGGGCAGCAGAAGGCGGCGGCGGAGCCGGACCTGGCATGTACGTATGTCTTCGTGTGTATGTCTGTGTTGCGAGATTGCAGTTGCCGTACTCGTTCCTCCCCCCGGTCCAAACCCTCCCCTCAACCCTACCTACCTATCCGCTTCTCGTACGACCCCGCCCCCTGCCCCGCGCGTTCTCCCACCACACCCCGAAGGCGATTCCGGGTTATCCTTTGTGGAGGGCAATGCGGAGCAGCTGCCCTTCCCCGACAGCTCCTTCGACAGCTACACCATCGCCTTCGGGATACGCAACGTGACGGACCGACCCGCGGCACTGAGGGAGGCGCTGCGGGTGCTCAAGAGGGGGGGGAGGTGCGTGTGTGTGTGTGTGTGTGTGTTTGGCAGGGGGAGCGGGGGGGAGACGAACCACGAGCGAGTGAAGCTGCTGCTGGTGTGTGTGTGTGTGTGTGTGTGTGTGTGTGTGTGTGGAAGAGGGCCCGCATATCGTTGAGTTCTGACCCCTGGGGGGGACGGTACACCTGGGTGACGTTTAGGTGCATGGCTCGCACCCGCATCCGGCTTACAGGCGTCAATTCCATGGGACCCTGGGGTATCCAAGTCCGAATCGGATGGGACAAACATGGGATGCGTATTGGGATGGGATATGGGTATTCCTGTGTATATCGGACGGCGCTCCTGCCCCCCCTTGCTCACCGTCTTCGGCCGCCCCGTTTCGCCTCCCCCTCCCCCCCGTCCTTTCCTTTCCTTCTCCCCGGCGACCGCCCTCTTTCCTTTTAGGTTTGGCCTTGTCCGTGTGTGTATATGTATGTGTTTCTGTCCGTGTGTGTCTCAAACGCATGTCCTCCCCCCGCTCTGCCCTCCTTGCAGCTCCCTCCTGCAGTATATGTCCGTGTTCCGTCCACCCACCCCACCCCACCCCTGTGGATCTCATCTGAACTCAGCTTCCCGCCGCTGTGATTCGTCCCCCCTCGTCGACCCCCCCTCCCCCGCGGCCTGCCC